CACAGACACACAGACACACACCTTTCTCACAGACGCTGCAAAGCCACATCCAAGAACAACACAAACATTCAGCAGTGTGATCCAGTGCTCTGCTCCCGGCAGAGGAACACGGTGTGCCTATCTGCAGACTTTAAAAATACCCTGTGTGTTGGTTGTTGAGCTGTGACTCTACCTGGGATCTCTGGACAGGTGAGGACGATGCTGTCCACTTCTACAGCTTGCTGCGTGGTGGAGAAGTCGTTTCTGCGGGAGAGAAATATAAGACAGTGGTCAGTGGAGTCGCTGCGTTAAACAGGTTTTAGATTTAGATTTACGACGCCGGCAGGTAACGCTGAAGACTTTACACCTCGCTAAGATTTCTTTAAAAGGCTTTTAGAATAAATAAAAAAAATAGTTCTTCCAGATTTGCTCGTTAAATGGAGAAGTTCAGCCACCATCTGATTGGCTGGTGAGAATTATATTGTCTCATCAAAAGAATAAAACCAACGTGTTATTAGTACTTCCTGTCTGCGGCTCTGACTGGTTCCAACTGAACACGTCTCACAAATGTAAAGTTTATGTCCTCAAACATCTGCTCGCTGTAGTTTAACAGATGTGACTCTGCGTACTCGGTGTTCACCGGCCGTTAAACATTAAACAGGAATAAGCTCATTTCAGTCAGCTTTTGTTTTGAAATGCAGCATATGGTGGTTCGGGGTCAAAGGTCGCTGTACGGATGCAGAGACAGATCAGCGGCACAGAGCTGCAGATATTCCACCACAGCATTAAACAGCAGAGCCGAGGCCGGCTAATGATCAGCCAGACTGCAGCGATAAGCTGAATGTCTGAACTGATAGAGAGTTTCTGTACAGACGACGATCAGAGAGACGGCAGACTGAAACCTCGTATTACAATTCAACATGTTCCCTTTGTTTCTGACAATAAAGCTTCAAATGAATCCTGAATAATGAAGTGAACAGTTAACTGAGCAACAGAAGACCTGCAGTCATGTTTCATTAAAACCCCGGTTCTGTTGCTGGAGGATGTAAATGTGTGTAAAGAGGTTCTCAGGGACATGCTGCAGTCATCAAACACAGACGCCAGCGGTGTTCAGCTGGTTGCAATCTGGAACGTCACTGCTAGATGGGACTAAACCCTACACACTGGACCTTTAAAGGACCAGGACCCAGACTGAGAACGGGCTGCGCAGTGTGTGTAGAGACTAATGCGGCCTCCTGATAGTCCACTTAACCATCAGTCTCTGTTCACAGTCATCAGTCTGACAGTCTCAGAGGAACCAACGTTTCTCTGAGACTGTCCCAGCGGGGATACTGCACCTTTAAGTCACAGGATGAACTCTGTTGAACTCTTTGAAATACTTTTGGCAGCTAGGAAGGGAACTGTGAGTGCAAACCCTCTGACAAACAGGATATTTCAACCAAATAAAGCTCCATTTGTCCTCACCTATAGGACGTATCAGCCATACAGTCAGTGAACAGAAGAGCTCCTGGTTTTACTCACACGTGTTAATGGAACAGTCAGAGGTTTCTACAAACATATATCACCTATGATGAAAGGAAACCACACACTGACAGAGTATGACAGTGCGTCGACTCAAACAGCAGCGGCAGTGGATGAAACTGTACGTGGATACAGAGTGAAATGAGAGCGGGCAGCTGGATCAAAGTCTTACCTTTCCTTCAGATCGAGGCTGCTTGAAGATACAAATCAAAAGAGAGAAAACGTCTCACTCACGCAATCAAACTTTCTAGACACTTCAATTAAAGTTGATCTACAGCAGAATCCACACAGAGGAGGAATGTAATGAACCATCTCCTCACAATCACTTCTACCTCGTGTGCTTCTCCTGTTCAACAGAATAACGCACTTCACACTCATTGAACATCTCATCCAACCTTTCTGTCCTCTGTAGCCGAGGTTTTAAACTGACTGTTAACGTTATACGGTTTATATGGTACCATTATAGTAAACAGTTGGCTAACTCAACACATCCTTAGGCACCAGCAGATATTTAAAGACATCATATTGTGGTTATTCTGACAGATAATGTGAAATGATTCATGGTTAGTGTCTGTAACAAACAGAACACGATCTGCAGTCCAGGACTTCCCTGCAGCTCTACAGTTCTTCATAATGCTGTTTGTCTCATTTTAGCTTCATTTACAAGTTCCACACTGACCACGATGTCATTCCAGTACTGTTTTGATTAACTGTGCAGCCCTGATCGGATCAGAAGTGAAAGCAGTGGATCGTCTCGACCTCAGGGGATTGTGGGAGGGTCGAAGTGAGACGTGAGTGAAAGATACTGTGTGTTCTCAGATTCAGTGTGACCTTCGCTTCCAGAGGATATCAGTATCTCCACACTCCTTTATGAGTACGTCCATAAAATCCTCGTAGCACCAGACCTTGGCTGAGAACGTTTTCTTCAGTATCAAAGTGATCCAGTGACAGCAGGTCGTCTAACACTAACAGTGACTCACAGGCAGGTCGGCACAATACAAACCATAAGAGCTCAGGTTGAAGCCACAGCAGAACTGAACAGTATCCTCCTGCTTTCAGTAGGGTTTGTCTCTGGAATAACAAGTGTAACAGAGAGGAGGGAGACGGAGACGGACTTTAAAGGCGTCTCACCTTTGGACTGGTTTCCTTATTGCGGAGGGCATCTGTGCGTGCTGGAAGTGTCTCCCCTGTAGAACGATTCCCTGCGACGGTGCGGGACTGATGATGAAGTAGTTGGTTCTGTTGGGGATCGGGGAGGACGTTGCTACTGAGAGAGGGACCTCGCTGCAGGACAGAGACACACAGACAGACACACAGACAGACACAGTCAACTGAAACCTGTTTACAGCGCAAACACAAACACATCATAAGAACCGGTTACACAGGACCAGAACGCTGACAAATCAAATGTTTAGTGTTTGAATGTTATCTTAATTTCACCTTTTAAATCAGTGTATAATGTGTGTTTAATGATTTTATTCTGTTTATTATTTATTCATAACTGCTTCAATGTGCTGTTGATTCATTGTGGATTACAGACTTTATGTATTTATATATTTTTTGAGACAATCATTTAATAAACTGACGACCTCCTTTACTGACATATTTTATTTATATTATATATTATATTCAAAACTGAACAATGAACCCAAACAGTAAACTTTTTTTTTTTAATTTTGTTTACATTTACAATGAACCAAATGTAATAATACAGGCCTTAAACCACGCC